TGTGTGGGTGACTCACTCGGCAGGTTTACCCGGAGGAGGGTGTGGGTCCACTTTGACGAGGGCCATTGTGTTGGCAATTGTGCGCACCGGGACACCCGACATAAAAGGCCAACCGAGAATGCAGGAAATGAGGGGAAAGATCACATTTGTCAACACGTGGTCCATCACAAAGGGACTCGGCTTCTTCGCCTTCGGTTTCAACGCCGTAACACTGGCGGAGGAGGAAAGGAAAAAGGAAGATGAGCTTGGTGTTACTCTTCCTCGTCTACTGACTTCTTACTTCTACTCCCTACCCCCAATCCATGCACGGCACGCCTTGTAGGCCATCATTACTGTGTGCTTGGAAGATCACCCAATGTACAAATGACGATGATACGAAAGACGATTCCTCACATGAAGGAGATAGCACGACTATGGCCATCTTTACATGCTGTCGTCTCTCTTCACGCTTTTCCTCATTGCATCAAGCGTTGCCTCCGCGAAACCACACTTCTACACACACACACACACACACACACCTTCCTCCCACTATGATGCTGCAGTCGTCAAAAAAAATAATAAATCGAGAAGTGTTTTTGTGCCATCTCTGAGGTGTGAGGAGGCCGCTTAAGTCGACACCATTAAGGATGCACTTCATTAGTCGCGATACAACGTCAAGGAATTGTCAAAATGCCACATCGCCTGGGAACACTTAAGGCATTCCGTATCTGCAGTTCGAATTGGCGTTAAACTGGCAAGACGTGCAAAATAGCATAAAGTTGCGCGCGCAGCTGTTAAATTTTCTAAAATTGTTATGTTATCATCACAAATGACCTGATATTCTTGAGAGCACCTTGTCAGCCCTTGATTCTTCTTCGGATGTTTAAAAATTTGCTAAGTGGTTTACTATTTAAAACAAATATACATAATATAGCATCAGGAACTCATGCTAAATTTTGCCAATCCTCTTACCTATTGAGGGCAATTTCCGTGAATACCAATAGACAATAGAAGAAGCCAACAATCAGTGCTGTGACATGAACGAGAGCGGGATAGTTACCGATAGTGGTCAACTCAGAGAACTGGACAAGGTTGATCCAGGCTTTAGGATCAGCCTCCGATGCCGGTGGAACGCCCAATTTTATGATAGGATAGGTTGAGAAGAAGATGTAGGTAAGGACAGTGACAAACAGGATTCCCAGAGGCACATTGAACGCTCCGATCCAGTAGCGGAACTAAGTGTGATATAACAGGCTATGTATTTCGTTTTGTGTACGCTTTTGATGGCGTCTCTGATTCCAACTCACCGTACGCCGAAAGAGGTGGCCTCTTTTCAGTTTGTTGATGAGAAGTGAAAACACCAGCATGGTCAATGCCAGAAAGAGTTGAAGAGCTGCCTTTGACGCAATTTGTGAGCTTGAGAGCGCTTCGTTCATTTGGACAATGTCAGTGTGGTCAGTTGCATTATATACTGTTCCAGGTATAGCCTAGAAAAATCCAAAATATTCTTCAATTGCATCAGGAAATGGGTTAGTTGTTTACAGGGCTTTTAAGCAATTCAAAACACCCTACCCGAAACAGGAATAGGATTGATTTTATGATAAGGAAGAGTGAAATGAATGCACTGAATATTTCCTCCAGAGAACGTCTGGCATAGAGGACCATGGACGAAAGATTCATTCCAATTAAGATAATGCCCCACGCAATCATGTAGATTCCTGCCCAAAACCGATACACCCAGTAGTCTAGTCCCAGTAAGCTGGCAAACTAAAAAAGAAAATTGGAAAATTTGCTGAATAATACTTTAGAATTAATTTTCTATATCTCTTCAACGACCAATGCTTAGTGTGGCAACAGTTTAGCAAAACGGCATGACGTACGAGTGCAATAACGGTTTCGAGATAAAAACCAGGTCCTGAGAGGCCAATGCTTCCCAACGGTTGTCCAGCAAATAAGGAATACAGAATTGTGAAGACTCCAGTGGCAACGATGTTCAAGCTTATAGTGTAAGCTTTATGAACTTCATTGACTAAAAAAGGAAAAGTCTACAAGATGTGTTCAAACAGTGGATATTTTATTACCGGGTAGGTAAGTTTGTTGTAGATTTTGAGTAATTATTACATGCACTTTGGAAATGGGAGTTCAAACTGACATGCAACTTTCTAGAACCAGTGTCGACTATCTGGTGCAACAGTGCTTACCCATGTGCAAGTCTTCACATCAAACACTCTCCCATTCACATCAAACATCACCTGCCAATCTAGCCAATAGTGCCATAGTTGTCAGAATTTCCCGAAGCACAACAAATGCATCCGTAACCCTCTGCCCAATCCCAATGCAGTGACGAAACGCGCATAACGAAGGCCCAAAGATTGGGCGTCGGTTTCCTTCTGGCTAATTTCGCGAACGTAAATGGAGCATTAACTTCCCATAAATCTCCTTCCACCAACTCCCGACTCCACTGTATATTGCCTTACAGTTGCAAGCCTTACTTCCACAGTAGCACGAAATGAGCACACATTGTGCGTACATTCAGGTCGACACTCCAAGGCGAGGAGCCTCATCTTGGCTGAAGATGAGTGCATTCCACTGATGGGGACATGACGAACAGAACCGTGTGACGATACAAATGATGACCATTTTCGGCAGCTGCTCCAATCTCGTGCTACGCAACAAAGCTATTAGCAACGAAGACCACACTAGCCGTAAGCCATCGCTGTATTTCTCTACACCAATGCAATGACAATGGAAATGTGAAAACACGTCATTTTCCTTCCTCTTCCTCCTCCTCCTCTCACCTCACCTCACCTCACCTCACATCTCCCCTTCATCCCACCTCCCTGCATTACTCCCCACTCCCCACT